ATCTGCCCGCTCCCAGAAGGGCTCCACTTAACGCTTTTCATCTGCAACACCACAACATTCAAGCAACCTTAGGAAGCATCCAACAGTATGGTTTCACACCATGGCTTCTTTCGGTTCCACCAACCACAGATTTCTTAATTAAGCCACATGATCTAGCCAATCAAATAAGAGTGGAAGGTGCTGGAATCAAGTCTCAAATCAAAACCAGACAGCCACAACTTCTGCACCCCACAAGTCATCTGGAATATCAAACACTAGCACTGTGGCCTTCTAAAACTCAACGAGATTGCCTAACAAAGCATTCTATACCCACAGAAAGGAGCTTTTCCAATTTAAGGCCACTCCTGTCAACTATCATTCTAGTGCTTTCAGAACAGTGTGCAAGACCAATGTTTAAGGACTAAAATGAACTTCGGGCAAGAAGGCTCACAGTTCCTACCAGAATTATTCAGTAATGGAACTTCTGGTAGAAATGGCAAGGGGTCTGCAGTGGCAGGGAAAATGAGCAACCGTCCTTCGCTGACCCCTGCGTTCCCACACGTGCAGCACTGTCTGCATCAAGGAGGCCTCCCTACTGAGCAGAGGGAAGCCCCACACTGCTCAGGCAAGGGCGGAGCTGGGGGGGCTGCTGATATGGGCAGGCGGAGGACTCTGGTGCTTCCCACCCGGCAGGAGGGTTGACCTACGTTTCAACTCCCAAAGGACACGGAAGGCAAGATCCAAATACCACAGAGAGGCAGGAATGCAGGAATCGAGATCAAGTTATCAGCCTAGGATCAGTCAGGACTCAAATCAATGCAACAGAAGAGTTGCAAGAGTAGAGAAAACACCCTGAGGGTTGAAGGAATAAGACCAATTAGGCCCATGAGCAAGAAAGGGAAAACACCCGAAACCCTTCACTTCGGTAACTCAGGCTGACCTGAGCACCTAACCTCAAATAGCCAGGCCGTCTCCCTGATTAACACAGATGACTTCTCAAGTAGAAGACTGGAAGTTCATCCGTGAATATCAACCGTGACAACCTCAACATGACACCTTCCCATCCCCAGCTACCTGCCCACCATCCGTTCCACTGGCCCGTAACGTGACAGCTTCACTCCAGGGACACCCCTCTAAGTAACAATCCCACTGCCTTCCATCTTTAGGGGCATCAATATCACCCCCTTAGATTCCCTCTCCTCTGCATTCTTTTCTACTCCCTGCCGACAAGCCCACAAACAGACACAAGCAGACCTTCAAGAGTCAATCTGCACACGGTCTGTTAGGAAACAACAGGGAAGCTGGTAGTCTAGCGTGGGTACAGGGTTTATGCTGTAGGCAGGGTCAGGTGAAGCACATGCTGTCAGGTCCTGAAGGCTCATTCCTCCCTCTGTCAGCAACCTGTGTCCATCTTACTGCTCCGTTCCAGCCCACAGGCCTGAGCTACGGCCTGCAGCCACTCCTCCTACCACTTTACTCTTGCGTCCCCAGATTTGCTCTGACGTGCAAATCATCTGTGGACCTGACTCTGCTGGGTGTTTCTCCCAGATCACAATTTCTCTGACCCTAGCCCAGAAACGTAATCATCATTCAGTGGTTATTCCACTGTCATGCAAAATGGGACCTTAAATAAACGTTATTTGCAGAGGATGCTGAGCGAAGCCCGATGTTCCCAACCAGAGTCCAAGGTCGTCCTTCCTGAGCTTCAGAAGATGCTACGGCAGGAATGGCTTTGCCCTCCATAGCCCCATGATTTATTCAAGCAGTTAGACAAACCAGTCATAACACTCCCTCCCACTCGCAGAAGAGTTAAGACCTGTTTCCCCAGGCATGTGCAATTAAAACTGAAGGTTCAAAATTTTCCCCATCTTAGGGCCTAATGCAGAACCTCACTGGCAGCTTGAAGAACTGTCCTCAGGCCAAAGGTCATGAAATTGTTGTAAGTACAACTCTTACATATGCTGTGTGTTATCTTGCTGAATCTGATTTATTAGATCTTAACTGGTTTTTAAATTACGTCTTGGAGATCACTGTTTCTGGTAACAAATCATCTTTTCAAGCGTTTCTTCTATGTGGCAAAATAAATTTGGGAAAGGGCTCCCTCAAAACTAAAAATGAGGAAGAAAAAGAATAATAAAAACCAGGCTAAAAGCACAGTTCACTTTTGTACAGATACTGCAAGTAAACCTTAAGGATAATGTACTTCCAAGATAAGCTTAATATCTAATCAAGTAATCCTTCCCTGTTAAAGGGCATATTAAAACACTAGTATAACACTACATCAAAAACTAATGATGTAATATGTTGTGATTAACATAACAATAAAAAATTAAGAAAAAAAAACTAGTATAGAGGCACTTCAAATGCGTTTCTCATTTTACCAACAACAATGAAAAACTCACAGGAGTGTGAACCACTGCCTCCCACTCTTTTAAATCTCTATAGTCCTTATCTCAAAGCTAAACATGGCGGGTGCTTAGTCATCAAACTGTCTACATGGAAAATGTCAAACAGAACTCCTTATCCACACACTGCCCCTGTGTGTGTACTTATCATTCTGGTTCGTGGGCCTTCATGATAAAGGAACAAACTCTCTCAGGTGTGACAAAAGGCTAAGCTTTTTCAGAGACCAACAAGATACACATTTAAAAACTGTAGGGGCGCCTGGGTGATTCAGTCGGTTAAGCGTCTGCCTTTGGCTCGGGTCATGGTCCCAGGGTCTTGGGATCGAGCCCTGCATTGGGCTTCCTTTCCAGTGGGGAGCCTGCTTCTCCCTCTCCCTCTGCCCTTCCCTGCTGCTTGTGCTCTCTCTCCTTCTCAAATAAATAAAATCTTTAAAATAAATAAATAAATAAAAATAGTAGATGTCATCTATCAATCATCAAATTGGTATCAAACTCTAATGTATACTAAGGAAGAAACTCTCTTCAAGTATTATATGATGTCATGGAATCCAGTGCTATGCCCCACCGACATGTTGGTGGATATGTCCTATCACCACCCTCCCCATGCTAGACTAACATGCTTGCTCAAGAATTCAAGGTCACAAACAAAGGTTGACAGTGTCAACGGGTAGGTTCAGATGTGACAGTTACCAGTCTGTAGGTCCCATGTCCACCTCAGAAGTACTTCTTAAGAGCTGGGATTTTAAAAGCATTCCAACAGCGCTCTCAAAATGAGTTCAAATTACAAGTGGCAGACAGCAATTCCCTATATTCACTCTTAAATTCCTTCAAAACTCGAGTAAGCATTACACAGTTCCAAATGTTATCAAATTAAGAAAAAATTTTTTCAAGTCACAATGAAGTCCCCCTTCCTTATCTTAAAAACCTACTGACCATGGCTCAAGTCTATCCAGATTACTAAAACAGATTATGATGTTGATCAACATAGTAAAGCAGAGAGCACAGAGTGAAAAAAGCAGTACATAATTATTTAAAAGTTCTTTCCCTAGTATCTGGAAAAAAAGTTTAGAACTTTAGTTATATAGGCTAGCTCTCCCTTAAGACCTAGCCAAGGAAAAGCAGATGTCACGTGCAGATAGTACATAAGAGCAATACAACACTCATCCAAAGAAATCTAAATAAAGTAACTTTCCACTTACACTGCAGTGGCATAAAATAAAAATAGAGAAATCATTCCACATTGCAAGAAAAACACTATTTTATTTCAACAGATAATCCAAAGCAGAGGCCTTAGCCTCTGCTTCCTTAAGAGGTCCACCAGTTCTGTGCAAAATCTTGTCTATGTATGCGTCATCCTAAGAAAAAAGTCCATGGGTGTCAGCACATTGCAAAAGAACTATGACCAAAAACAAGGTTAAGAACCCGTAAGGAGAATCATAAAATTTTTTCCCCCATCATTAATTTCTTATTAGTTTCATATGACCCAGCAAACAGAAATGCTCAACAATGAAGGAGGCAAAAAGAGTCAGAGTAACATTTTGCTCACAATAAAGTTCAGCACAGATAGCATTTCATATTAATGTGATACAAATCCCCTCCCAAAAGTCAATTATGAAACTGAGGCTCCTCCCCTATCCCCAGGTCACTGTGACAAACTCTCCAAATAGGGCACTGAAAGGAAGCTGATTAGCTCACACTGTCTGTAGACCCATTCTCAATTGTTTAGAGGCATTACTGGTTCCCCTAAGGATTTTCAGTTGATAAGGGAATGGATATATCTCATTTGTCCTTTTTCTTTTTAAACTGCTGCCCCCGACATTGTCGATTTTCCTTACACACTGCAAACATCTGTTCAACATCTAAACAAACAGATGAACACATTACAACTACATGGGCCCACAGGCGTCGGGTGGAGACCAATCAGTTCATAACAGGTGCCCACATCAGCCTGCCAGGTACAGTCTACGGGCCAATCTCCATTTCTGGCCATTCTTGACTTTTTTGTTTTTTTAAATGAACATATTAAGTGGCATGGCACTGACAGTAAGGACAGAAGGTGACAGCATTATCACAAGGTATGCATTTCGATACAACTTTCAAACCAGGGAAGAGGGCAGTACTGAGTGGAGATGACATAAACAAACAGGAGCCGAGCCGGTCAGGACCGAGTAAGGTTGAGGTTAGTGGCAACAGCATGTGCGTGGTTTCCGGGAAACCTTCAGTAAGACTGCTGTTAGCCCTAGCCCCGCACCTTGCCCAACCCAGTGTACTGCCTCTTCTTCCAGCTCCCCGCCTGGCTCAAGTGCAGCACTGCCCTGCTCCCAGGGGTGCGGCCGCCCGGCCTGAACTCACCTTGGCAGTGGAAGGGCCTGAAGTTTAAAACACGTTAATGCATCACGGCAAAGGGGCAGTGAACATGCGTGCTTCGTACACTCACGGTCCAGAGCAATAGCAAACGTGCCACCAACAAGACAACCTCTGTACAAAATGCCCCCAAAGGATTTGGAGAAACAGTTTTACAAACACAAGCAAGAACAGAACAACAGGGGTATCAATGCACCAAGAAATTGCACCTAATGGAGGAAAGCGCCAAAAAGAATGATGGGCTTCACCTACTTTAACTGCCATTATTTGCCCACTTGGTTTGTGGACCATTTTGTTGACAGAACCATAAGCTCCTCGTCCAATTTCTCCAAGGTCTTTCAAGTCCTCCGCTGTGAAATCCCAGTGTTGCTCAGGGGAGATCTTCAGTTTTCCTGACGATTCAATGCTGTGTGTTCTCAGTCTCTCTCTGTTAAAATATTGGGAAGCAATTTTTCCACATTTTAAATAGGTTTTGACTTTTTTCTTATAGCTAGCACTGATGAATGCGTGGGAAAATCTGCTTTTCAAGTTGCTAACACAGTCTGACCTCCAGGTTTTTGGAGTTTTTTGTTTACATCGTCTTGGTTTTTTACATACTGTACTCATTAAGAAAGGCCTAAACTTAGGGAGTCAATAAACACAGCTTTAATGAGATTCAGAAAACCAAGTTTCCAGTTATCGAAGAGACTAATTACGTAGACCAGTTTTCATTTCCAAATACAAGCTCTTTTTTAAACTTTGCAAAACTGCGTTATCAAGGGCAGGATCCCAGGAGCTACGAACCTCATTTCCAAAAAGTTCTTATCCTACCTTACCCGACATTAATGACCCCAGGCCCTCCATCCTTAGTACAGCTGCTCCTGAACTTTCCTGCACATTAGAATTACGTGGCAAGATTCTTAAAATCCAGATGCCCAGGTATCATCTCATAGCAATTAAATCAGAGTATCTGGGAACAGGAGTCAAAAAACAGTATTTTTAAAGATCCCCAGGCGATTTTGGCAAAGTCTGGGAAATAGCACCTTACCATACTGCCCTGTTCCCGCTAATGCCACGCTGAGGTTAGGGGGACAGTTAAATGAACAGCAGCTGGATCTAGGAGAAAAACTGTCACGTACCAGTCAAAACTGAACCTGTCAGCCTAGATAGAGCGATGAGGTGAGAAACAAATGATTCGTGGACAAAAATCTCGTTAACAGATTTTCATTAAATTCCAACCTGGAGATCAAAGCATTAACTTGTAACCATGCTTTGTAAAAAAAGCAAATCCAATGAAAAATGTAAAACCAATCTCATTCTTCTCTTTCCTCCCGCTCCCCAGACACCAATGTGTAGAAATGAACTGTCTCAAACTAGAGAGTGCAAGATACACGGAGAAAAAGATTCCACTGGGCGCCTGGGTGGCTCAGTTGGTTAAGCGACTGCCTTCGGCTCAGGTCATGATCCCAGAGTCCTGGGATCGAGTCCCACATCAGGCTCCCTGCTCAGCAGGGAGTCTGCTTCTCCCTCTGACCCTCTTCCCTCTCGTGCTCTCTATCTCTCATTCTCTCTCTCGAATAAATAAATAAAAAAAAAAAAAGAAAAAGATTCCACTGACGATCACCTACATTTTGTCAATTTCATATTAAATAGACTCTTTAAAATCTGATCTGGTAATACAAGTAAGAAAAATTTACATGCTTGGTTATTTACTTTTCTTCTTCCGAAATTTGGAAATGTTTTCTCAGGCTAGCAGAACTGTTTTTTGCAGCTACTTTTAAGGTTCTCAAAATATTCAGAATTTTAAAATCATTTCCCCAGAATTATCGTATATACTAGTATTAATAATAACCATGATTCAGGGTTATAGTTCAAAGACTTAATACACTTTGTCTAAATAATCACGTAGTGAACCAGCATTCCAAGTGCCAGATTCCCAGATCATAGTAAGTCATAATACCAGCTTTTTTTCACACAAGTTCTTTTCTGTTTACAACATACTTCCACCAGTCGAGCCTAGTGACTAATTTTCTTAGCAATCTTTTTCATGACGTAGAAATATCCTAACACAAAGGAGTTCATTTGCAATAATTATTGTTCTATGATCACTGGCATGTAAACACCACCTCTGTGGCTCAGTTTAATCACTGGTAAAATATACAGCACCGGCTAATTGCTGAGGGTAGCTGAAAAAAAGTTAGTTTAAATTACGTGCAAATTAGAAGCAACATTTCGGGGCTCCTGGGTGGCTCAGTCAGTTAAGCATCTGCCTTTGGCTCAGGTCATGATCCCAGGGTCCCTGCATCGGGTTCCCCGCTCAGCGGGGAGTCGGCTTCTCCCTCTGCCCCTCCCCCCACTCATCCTGGCATGTGTGCTCTCTCTCAAATAAATAAAATCTTTAAAAAAAATTGGAAGCAACATTTTTACATTATTCACTAATTCACGGGACATGGCAGACAGGCTCTAAGGTGCTCCCCATGAACTGCACTTCCCTGGGTTTCACAGCACTGTGTAAGCTCCTCTCTCTGAGTGGGAACAAGACCTGCACCTGCAACTTGCTTCTAACAATATGGCAAAGGATGTCACTCACATGAATACATTGTGTTTGAATGCATCTGTTGCCAGCATTCCTGAGACATGGGGTACTTCACTATTATATAAGCCACAGAATAACAACAGTTATATTATATATATAATATTATATTAATATAATATTAACTTTTACTATAAGATAATTTTTAGAATTATGGAATATTTCTACTAATAGCTTGGTTTACTGTAGTCTACTGTGTAATTTCTGGATGAGGTCTTTTTTTTTTCAAGTGAACAGGTTGACGGCTAAGGGATGCGAGTTACCTTCTTGGGCTGATGCAAATAGACACACAACTCTGAAGGAAAACTCTATAGGAAAGCAGCTGAATTGTAGAGTCAAAGGAGTATACCATATGATACATGAATTATATCTCAATAAAGCTGCTAAAACAAAAGATGAACAGCACAATGTGGCTATTCCCCAGAGTCCATCTTCTCATTTAACAGAAAAAGTTGTGAAAACCACAGAAAAACATGCTATGGTTATGCCATCATGAAGGCATGTTCATGGAGTCTCCACTCATATCAGGCTGGTAATCTTTCCTGTGAAACTGAGTCCGAACTCACAGTTATTGCTTTAAGAGTTAGTCCAGCCCTGACGGCTTCCAAAGAAGGACTGGACAGAGATGCGGCACTGTGGTGGCCGCACCTAGAAGCCTGACCTGACCCTTCACCATTACACTAGAGCAGTCAATCACTGAGGCAACTGTACTGAGTGTCCAAGACCTTGGCTGCAATTTTTTATCTCGGGGTGAATGTGTCAAACGGTATTTAAGTTCTACTTCTACTAGCCAGGGTCAAAAACTCCCAGATTTCATTATTAATTTCTTATCTGAAAATCAGTTCAGCTCAACTCCACAAACCTGTTAAGTTAGCTCGAATGCCTCTGCCTCATCAGTAACTAAGTTCAGCCTATGACCTTATATTTACTCTCACATTCATCCTTCTGAAATGTATATTAAGGGCTCCACATGAGCAATTCTTAACCCAGACATCTCACCATTCCCTCTGCTGGGCTCTATTCAGGAAACAAGCAAGGGACTAAGGTTCCAAGTCTCAAATTCACCCAAATCTCATACAGGAGCACAATCCCCAGCCCCATATTTAACCACATACACAGAAAAGTCCCTAAGAAAATGGGTAACATTCTCCTCTGGATTTAGGAATCTTTAATATGAAAACAAGTTAGAGTGGTGTTTGTTGCAACAGGACTTGTAATTAGACTATCATATGATACACATTCCAGTAAAAAAGTTAGCTATACACTTATATTTTTTAATGCATACAGATCACAGACCTGGTTGAAAGGGCACCTCTGTTGAACACAGTATTTCCAAGAGTAGCATTTGGGGATAGACATTAACACCAAGGAAGCTGTTCAGATATAGACTGATGTCCCCATTAAAATATTTTCTCCCATATAATGGTAAGTAGAACTTTAGTGACAATAATAAACTTTGGTGAAATCTACAGACACCAACAAAAAGGATTAAAACCTAACAAAACCCAAGCACAATAAACTTTATTAATTGATTCGAATCAAATTTGGAAAATCAATTCATGGACATGCTGCATCTTACTACCAGATTCGCTGATTAACATAAATAGGCTGGGTCCATGTCCCCTGTGGTTAGTATGTTCACGTTCCTTTTCAAAAGACTCTATTCCCTGGCTTTGTAAAGGGATGCCACATGAATGACTGAAAAAAATTAAAGATTTTATGGTTTACCTCTCCCAATTGTTTAAGGGAACACTCCCCCTCTACCCCACCCCATGCTTCATCTTTCCATGGAGAGGGATCGGGCCTCTCACCTGAGCCCTACTGACTGACCAGTGAATATGGAAGAAACTGAACCCACTCCATTCAATTCCTCTTTTTTAAAGCCAGCCTTCCTACAGAGACGGTACATATGCTCTGGCTGTCCCTTATAAGAGGCTGCACTCAAGGGATGGGTAAGTCTAATTATGTATGTGAGGCCAGGAGGAGTTAGCGAACTATTCTGGCCTCAAAGAACTATTCTGGCCTCAAACGCAGAGCTACATTTCCAATTTTATCAAGAAAGCCTGGGTGACTCAGATGGTTAAGCATCTGCCTTTGGGTCAGGTCATGATCCCGGGGTCCTGGGATCGAGCCCCACGTCAGGCTCCCTGCTCGGTGGAGAGCCTGCTTCTCCTTTTCCTACCCGCTCATGCTCTCTCTCTCTAATAAATAAAATCTTTACAAAAAAAATACGCTAAATCTTGGGCCGCCTAGGTGGCTCAGTTGGTTAAGCATCTGACTCTTGGTTTCGGCTCAGGCTCAGGTCATGATCTCAGGTCATGAGATCGAGCCCTGCTTCAGGCTCCACCTCAGGCGGGGAGTCTGCTTGGTATTCTCTCCCTCTCCACCCCTCTGTCCCTCCCCCTCCCCAGCACACAGGTGAGCCTGCTCTCTCTCAAATAAATAAATAAATTCTTAAAAAAAAAAAAAGAATATGATAAATCTTATAATCTCCCTATGTCTGGCTCCTGCATCTCTCTCAATTGGTGCCAAACACAAATGGAAAGGAGAATTTTTCATTTTTAACTAGACTTCCATATAACCAAAACCCAAAACTTTCGAAAATGTTAACAAAGTATTGGATAGTAAGAAAACGAAATGCAAGCATGCAATTCCTAGAGTTCGGAGAGAATAAACGATATCCATGTGACCTAAGAGCTTCCAGGAGCCAAGAGTTTCAGAGCTCTGCAACTGAACCTATAGCCTACAACCAACTCCCTTTAGCCCCCTTGTAGAATTTCACAGAAGCACAAAAGACAAATATTTTTGGTGACCTGAGTTATACCTGTGGCTTCAAAGTCCCGGTTTATTCCACT